AATTTAGCGATATTAGCGAGAGAGCTTTAAATCGCTAAATTAAATAGACGCCAAAATAATTATTATTCATTATAATGGTTATTAGATCTATTTATAGTTAATTTGGTTAAAAACGCTAAAATTAGTAACATTAAACATGACTTTTGCTGATTTTGCTAAAATTAGTAGACGCAAATAATAGTAGGCTTAAGGTAATATCTATGGTTGGGCATGGGGGTTGGGGTGGACACTGGACACGTGTAGGCCAGAGGAGTAAAAGGCGAGGTTATTAGGTTAAAGATGGACAGAAATTTAGATGTATCACTAGGTAGGCTGAAGTAGCTCTCTCTTAATGTTAATTACTGGTATTCTACAGGTCAGTATCAACTGGGATGGAGGGCTCAACACACAACTGCTGTAGTTGGAGAAGTCCTTTACTGCTGGGGAGGCCGGGTCCGGGAAGGACTAGATAAGTCCCACGATTCTCCTACAAAGAAACAGTATACTTCTGCTATTGATGCGTTTAACTTATTATCTGGTGTTTGGTCCTCTCAACCTACTAGTGGTACTCCTCCACTGGGAATCAGAGGAGTCTCCTGTACCACCATTAATAATAATATCTATTATTTTGGTGGCTATTGTGGCCATGACAGTTGCTACCATAACAGTTTGAACTGTTTAAACACTTTAATTCTCCACTGGAAAGAATTACAGCCAACTAGTGACAATTCTGTGACTAAGAGAGCCTTTGGTGGTATGATAGTAATGGGAAGTGAAGGAGGTGAACCTCAACAGTTACTGGTTATTGGTGGACTGGCTCCTAAATCTGCTACTACACCGTATCATCAGTTTGAATACATTGAGATACCTGGCGTTGATGGTCATGTTAGAACTAATGAACAGAATATCTACAACCTGTCTAGTGGTAAGTGACTCATTCATGTATTTATAACATATAGGGGAAAATTTTTGTGGGCCAAAAATTTTGCAGATGATCCATTCAAAAATCAATTTTGTGGCTTTAATTTTTGTGGTTTTCTACTTCTCGTCCATCTTGAACCGTATTGAATCAATTTTCGCGGATTTTATTTTTGTGGATTTTGTAAAAACGCAAAATCTGCAAAAATT